AACCTTAAGTATCTCAGCTGTATAGGAGCATATTCTATTGCAAAAGACCTTCCTGCGAAGATCATGGATTCAAATATGGGACATTTGAACTAATACTTGGACTTTGAAATGAATTTCTTTAACAGTTTTCTCTGCAGTGCAAGTTATTAAACTAAAGCTACTCTATTTCCCCAATGTGTTCGACAAAATCCTTAACGTCTAGCATGGTATCTTAATAAAGAATAAAGTCGTTCTTTAAAAAATCTGCTTTAAGTAGATTTTTCCCCCAAGGTTTCTTAGTTAAGGATTCCAAAAGTGGTATTCACAAATTCTTGCATTTAAATTTTTATTGCAGTGGTATAGATGAATACCATCATTGGTATCCTTAAATTTTATTTCTGCTCATGAAGGTTAATCATGATTGTCTATATAGTAATCACTTACGAATTGTGTTCAGATACAGCAGTTTCAGGTGTAATCATCAGAGCTGGTTAGTCAGGCATTCCAGATAGTGGTTCTTTTCAGAACCTTTTTTAAAGGGTTGGTTAACTACCTCAGTAGCAGAGGATTGAACTATACCCTGTCTGTACTGTACATAGAAAATCTTTGTAGATAAAAGCAAGGCTTGTTTAATATGATATGAGGGTAAGATTATAATATACCAAATGTAACATTCTTAGTTGCCTTTAGTTCCAGAGGCTTTGTAAGACTTCCTCATGACCATCATAACAGGCCTTGCTTTTGTCGTATTTTGTGGCTGAAAAAGCAGCCTTGCTTCTTCAGATATTGTAGTTATTTGGATGTATAATAGTTTAGCAAGATGTTACTTTTGTAAGACATCAGATGTTCAAAAAAAGTGCATCAGCAACTTGTACTAAATACTGCAGTGTCCCTTTATAAAAGGTCAGACTAAAACTGACAACTGTACAGTGAAGCCTGACATTTGGATATTTTGAAGTTTTTCATAAATCATAGAATAGTATATGGCTGTAGTTTAGCTTTTTAGGTAAAAGGTATGTTTTCATTAGTGCATTTCTTATTGCTGATCACTGTAAAAACATGTGGATCAGCTTTCCATTTCTCTTACGCAGTTCATGATAACCTGTAGAGTAGAGTAGAGTACAATCATTTGTGCTATGTTTTTAATTTTCTAAAGCACCTTGATGACAGTGAGTGTTCAGTGGTGAAGCATCCTCTATTGAACCACCCTTAAAAAAGACAAAGCAAAAACAAAAAAACCTTGCCAAGTCCAACATCATATAGGTAAAAGATAGATAAAATTACGACTTAGTTTGGACTTGGCGTAAAGAGCTTCCCTTAACCCCCTACCCAAAGGGATACTGCAGTTATACTACATACCCATAGGCACCACAATGAAAATTGAAGCTTATACCTAATTAAGGTTTTATACACACCAGTTCCCCCAGTAAATGCAAATTTTAACAAAATTAGACATGTCATATGTTGAAAATGCTCATGGCAAACAATCATTTTTCATTCCTGCAAATAAAATTGTTTTATACTGTAAGCTGGAGGCGAGTGTAACTTATTTTTGTAATAAAGTTTTTATTTTTTTTATGTGTCATTAATATAAATGTGTGTTAGTACAGAGATCTTCTGGTTAAAAACTTAGAATCGCACACATTTCAGTATGTTTACTTGTATTTACATAATTTTTAGAATAGTGGTTGCCAATAGCCTGTATGTTTCACATTAATTGATTTCTTTTTGTTATCTTAATAAACCATTTTAGTATGTTGTATGTCAATTACTGGGATAGCTGGGACATGAAGTGTAATTTAAAATTGTCAAGTATTCATTGGAATATGTAAATGTGCCTTGCCAGTTTTGAACTTTAAGACAAAGTAAGTGGATGATGGTGAAATGAGTAGTCAATGCGTAAGAGACATTTGCTACCACAGTTTCATATACTGCCCTTGCTAAAGAAAAGTAACTATTTCTTCAAATTTGAGCATAAAAGTATACAGTTGCATTAGCTTCTCAATTTTCAAATCTAGTGATAGAATATTAGGCTTATGGAAAGTGGGTTTGCTAATTGTAGCCTTAAGTATAATTTTGAATTTCAATGTAATCCTTGGTGCTGGCATTCCCAGTGCCAAGGAGTTTAAATGCTCCCTTCAAAGAGGTTGCCATGCCTACTGGCACTTTTACTGTCATACGGTTTTATAAGGAACACTGTCAAGATGTGGAAACCAATTTTGAACTTACTATAACATGAAAACACTGGGGGCTGCAGGAGAGGGGAGTCCTCAGATTTTTTTAATCTTGAAATCTCTCCATTGCTGAAAAACTTAGAACGCTTGTGGGATCACAAGTGGTAGTGACTAGTTCTTAGTCTGGAAATGTGTTGGGGGGGAGGGGCGTGGGGATATAATATATTTATGGAATTATAACAGTTGATGGAAGTGCATAGAAACGTTGCTATTAAGGCACTACATGCGTTGAAATTGTGGATCACGTCCTTAATTTCAGCTCTGATAAAAGCATGGGGGAACTATTGTTAAAAAGGCAAAATTGACAGGAAAGGGTTTGTTTTTAACGGAGTGCAAGCAATGGTGAGTGAGCAAAATAGCGAGATCTTGACAGTGTTCCCTCTAATTATGAACTCAAGCCATTATAACTTTTAAAATTAAATATGATTTGCACTGTTCTGATATTGGTGCAGTTTTTTAGCAAAATGATCAGAAAACTAAATTGCATGTGGTGATTCATATTGTGGAAAAAAAAAGAAAATCAACAAAATGTTATTTTCAAAGCTTTAAATTTGATTGTGTAAAGAAAAAACATTAATTAAGTGGAAATACTGATGAGAATGGGCAAGTGCATATATACAACATCAGTTTGGTTGCACTTGGGTGTTGGTAAACTTGAAATGTTCTACAGCAATAACGCATCTCTTGGGGTGCTTTGGTGACAAATGGACATATAACACAGTTCTTTTGGGCATGTTGAAGGCAAGTGTTGACTTAATGTGTTATGCTGCCTCTGTTTATTCTCGTAGGAGGCTTTCTTTACTGAAATGCCTGCAATGGTTTGAGTATAAGCTAGCATAGTTCCACATTCATTTATAATGTGTTCCTAAATTTGAAGTCTAGTTGAATTTGATAAGCAATTGGAAACTGCTGCTGCTGCTTAACACTTCTGGTTTATAAACACTCCAATACACAGCTTTCTAAATTATACTCTTGTTTTAATATTTTTTTTGTTTGAAGGGTTTCATATAGGACGTACAACTGTACTTTTTTTTTTTTAAATAGGAGATTTGTTACAACCCAGAACTTAAAGTTTGTGGTTTCTAGTGTTGGAGGAGGACTGTTACTACAGATACTAAGACCAGTTTCTGAATTTCTGCATTGTATAACTTACTTAAGTACTGTCTTAAAATCCAAAACAAGGAATACAAATTCTGTTATTGTCAGGGGTGAGGAGTATGACATGGTCTAAAATAAACTTAGCTTCCTCTGAAGGTAGGATTCCCAACTTAATATTTCAGGATAGAAATGTTACATAAGGCTACAACTTTTTTTTTTTTCCTTGTGCCTTTGGTAATTCTCCAGAGGCTTAACTTTTCTGTTCAGCCTAGCAGTTATTTTGATGCTTCCATACATCAGTGATGGGAGACTCTTTTTTTTTAAAAGAAATAAAACTGATAGGCAACATGGACATAAACACACGTAGTAACACTTTGTGAAAAGAGTATGTTCAGATTAATACATACCACAAAATTAAAGACTGTTACTCCCTCACTTGCGTTAGTGAAGATTTAATGGAAAGTGTTAACTGTTTAAAATGGAGTAGGACGTTTTGGAAGTAGGCAGTAAGGCAATAAACTTCACAACATAGTGTTCTGAGAACTGAAATCCATGAAGTTGGAGCTTGACTTTGTGTTCATAGCCTGAAGCTTATGAATCCCAACTTTATGACTGGCTATGATGGACTTAAAAGCCTGTCTTCTGCTGAGTGTCTTGCTGAATTGACTCCAGCAGCAGCACATGACATCTCTTGGCTGGGGCTAGCTAGCTGCATTAGTTGGGCAGAGGAAACACCAGACTGTACTTTGTCATTTGCTCTGTCACATAAAAATGGTATGTGGCAACAGGAGAGGAAGTCAAGCTCCAGATTCCTTGATCCCTAATACAGGTAGTTGGGGAGGAGGGAATAAATTATTAATTGTTACTTTACAGCCGTCTAGTACAAACAGACATAAAGCTTCCTAGAATCTCCGATGTTAATTTTTTCTGGCAGACCGATTTTCATAGTCACCTTTGCAAGTGTTTAATTGTATTTGTGTTGTAAAGTCCACAGGATGAAAGAGTGACTTTTCTTTGGTGCTCCTTTGCTGTGACGGTTACACTAGATTTCTTGAAAAGTGCTGCTAGGACTAGTGTGTTAGTTTACTTGGTATTTGGAGAGAGGGGCGATTGTCTCATGTAATGATGCCTTTTTCTTGCCCATATATAACTGGTTACTAGTTTTTTCCACAAACATGCATATTTTTAAGTGGCCAGCTCTCCAGTGGATGTTGCACAGCTCAGCTAATCTGGAAACAGTGGGTTACATTAATTATTTAAAGTTATCTTTGTGAAAGTTGCTTTAGGTGGTTGGACTTCCAGGTACCTGGTAAAAACGTTTTTATTTAAAAAAAAATAAATCTGTGACAGTCTAGAAAACACAGTCTCCTAGCGTGTAGCAACATGGCTCGAATATTTAAAGTTTGAATCACAAGACAGATTTCAGTTCCAAGAGTTGTTTCATTCCTGAATGTTCGTGAAACTTAGTGTCGGCTCCAAAGCCAGCACTTACTTTCTGACAGTCATTTAGGTAAAACTTGCAGTGTCAGAAATCTGGATTCCCTCTAGTCTGAGAATGGTACGTTTGGCTGATTAATAGTGACAGTTCACTATCTGTTTGCACAGCTAGTGTGCAATATAATTTTACTTGTTTTGGTCACTAACATGTAGAAAAGACATTGAATCTTACTGCTTATTTTCTTTGCACTAAGGAAGTTACGAAATCCATTCTTAGTTCTGCTACACAGCCAGTAGAATAGCCTATGCCATTTGACTGCACAGAAGAGAATGGTAAGTAAAACTAGTCATTCTAGTACTTAAATGACTCCCAGTACCTAAAATCCATCTCAGTAGACTGTTTAATTGACTCCTTATCTGCAGGTGTTAGGGGGGTTATGGGCTTGAACTCCTCCATTGTAGTGTGTCCGCTTCAATGCTGAGGGAATGGTGAGTGTAATCTGAGACTGTTTAATGTGAACTACTTCAGATCTAAAAATCTCCGAAATACTTCATAGATAATTCAGGCTGTATTTTTAAACTGATGGGTTAGCAATTGTAGTACTTTAAGGGATTTTCCATGAGACACAGTCTGTCATTGAAAGCCAGGAACTGAATATAACAGGCCCTGAGTTCCTGGTTCCAAGTGTAGCATTTCCACTGTTGTTCTGCCATCTAAAGTAACGTTTTTCAGATTTATTTTTTGCTCTTTAGTGGGATGAAGAATGCACCTAATTCTGTTACTAGTAGTGGTTATTTAAAAACTGTATTGCTAAATGTAGGTAATTTGGGATTAAAATGCTTCCTCTGTGAGAGTTCAACAAAGGCTATTTCAATTTTATAGATATCCCATTAGTAAATTAGGGCTTTTCTTAAGGTACAGTTTCAGCATACTTAAGAGTGAAGCCCTGTACTACAAAACACTGATGAGAGCTAGCCTAAAATAAATTATAATTAATCTTTTCATCAGGCAGATGTATCACAATTGGAAGATGATTTTAATCTTTAATATTACAGTATTTAAGATGACAGATAAAAATACTCAGTTCCTACACCTGGAAAAGCTGAAGTGGCTCTTAAAAGACTCTTCCCGTTTCACATGGAGGTCAAAGGCTTCCTTTGGACAATGCAATGAAATTTTTGTTTTCTTCCAGTGCAAAAAGTTGTTCTAACAAGCTAACCTGTTTCCAACCCACAGTTTTCCAACAGAATTTACAAGCTTTGTGTGGGTCTTAAATTGGTATTTTTAGCAGAAGATAAACCTGCAGTGACAGTCACTGGTGTATATGTGAGTAGCACTTTAACCAGGAAGTGATCAGTATGTAACCTCAACTTAAACTAGTCTAGTGGAACTGTCCTTTATTCACGTTACCTACATGTTTATAGCAGTACGTTAGTTTACACTCGCTGGTGGGATGCTTAAAAGCTACTTTGAAGAAAACCACGACATGTACTTTGTTAAAATCTGTCGACAGTTTGCAAATGGAGAAACGCTGCAGGTTTCATGCTGATGGAAGACTAGACTGGAATATAAAGGTGGGGGGAAAGATGTCGTAACTTCTCTCACTGGAAGTCCTGAAGGTACCACAAGCTTTAGGTGGCTTTAAGCTTTAGCAGTGAGTACAATGGAAGCTGGATTCGTGTAGCTGAGTAATCTTTGCTGCATTGCTCCTCTGTTTTCTGAGAGATTGTGTTAGCGTTATGAAAATTCTTCTAAAAAATCCCATTATGGGATTAACTCCAGTGAGATTGATCTTCCAGTTAAGAAGGATTGGGAAGGCCTTAAACCCATTGGATTTAAAATAACTTCCTTGTTGTGTGTGGTGTTTGCAACTTGGTTTTGCATAGAAGCGATCTTACAATGGGAATGGTAATAAATGGCACTTGGCTTTTTTTTTTAATGGTATGCTAATCTGAAATGCACGGTTTGGTTTGTTGATGTTCTGAGCTGTTCAGGTAG